AAGGAAGGGAACCACGATTACCCAGAACCTTGTATGATGAAGTAACTCCAGGCATTGGAAAGAAGTCAGAGTCACCAGACAGTAAAGCACGACATTTGATCGAAATTTGCGGGATACCCAAAAGAAACATGACCAAGGCCGCAATAGATCAATCTAGGTATTACAACTTACGCAGACGAGAATGGAAACCATTACTCGGGGAACTGGTCTTAACAAAAACACACCCACTGTCAAAGGCACAAGAAGGTTTTGCTGCGAAACTTGCACCAAAATACACGAGGCCCTATGAGGTTATTGATTTTACGTCACCAGTTATAATAAAATTGAGGGAAATGTCTACGGATAAGATTATTACGGCACATGTGAGTCAGTTAAAGTTATATCAATCCTAAGAAAAGGTTCAGGTTTTTTTTATATACATCATTTTATATTAACATACATTTACATCTAATACTGTTGGTAATATAATTTCTCTTAGAAAGACAAGGAAAAGGTGAAAATATTGCACTTGCAACTGAAAATAAATCAGGTTGGACGATTGGTATATCTAATATTGTTGGTATAAATATATTATAATATCAATATTAATATAGGATATATGCATTATATATTATCGAATAAGAATTGTTATAAATATATTATAATATCAATAGTAGTATAGGGTATATGCATTATATATTATCGAATAAGAATTGTTATAAATATATTATAATATCAATATTAATATAGGATATATGCATTATATATTATCGAATAAGAATTGTTATAAATATATTATAATATCAATATTAATATAGAATATATGCATTATATATTATCGAATAAGAATTGTTATAAATATATTATAATATCAATATTAATATTTGTATAAATAATTATTAATTGTATAAATATAATTGTATATTTATATATGTATAAATATATTATAATATCAATATTAAGATAGGATATATGCACTGTAATATGTTCTCGTATAAGTTGGGGAAAAAAAAAAGAATTGTTATGAATACATTATATTATATTAAAAATAAGCTATCAAATAAGTTAGTTAGAAATGCATTATAATCTAATCTTAATAGAGTATATAGGCGTTATAAGACAGTAAGAAATAATGTGGTAAAGGGAGTTGCTAGAAATACATTATAATATATGAAAACATATTATTAAATAAGTAAGTAAAAATAAATAAGCTCTTTATAAGTACATTATAATTTCAATATTAATATATTATATATATACTAGAATATAAAGATCACTATAATGTGATGTAGGTAATAATTATTACTGAAAATTGTTTGTACTAAAGTATGCTAAATTTGTAAGAAAACAATTGAATAATGGAAAGAAATGAATTATGAAATAGAATTTTAATATTTAAAAAGAAAAAAACAATATATCCACTTGACCGTTGCAACGCTATAGCTCTCCATATGTAATGAATGCCGCATCGAAGAATCCAGACGAATGTGAAATAAATAAACACAAGTAAACATCACCATGAAACGACAAGACAATAAGATAAACCTAGCAACAAAGCGTAAACTATGTATATTTACGGTATATCGAACTTTTCGGGGAAGATTCGGATACCGAAGCTATGGGACGCGAGGTGCAGCAAAGCATGATCAGGCAGGCTGATACCGGAAAAGGTGCACATGATGAGGAGAACAGCAGGTCTAAGACCAATACCTCTTTGGAAGACATATTACTGGTCACAACATCTCCTATACCATGGGATGAACCACATTCCCCATTACATACAGCCTTTAATTGGGGATATCCGCCAACTCCATCCCTGGCAAAAACTATTCTAAAACTAGCCAAGGAGCATGAATATGATCATCCCGTGATAAACCATGAGACACCACATGAAGACATCTTGTTGGTCACAACATCTCCTATACCATGGGATGAACCACATTCCCCATTACATACAGCCTTTAATTGGGGATATCCACCAACTCCACCTACGGCAAAAACCATTCTAAAGGCATCAACCGAGAATGAAGACGATAGCCCAGTAATGAACCATGCGGTTATAACCGAGAACAAAGGTCCATCGCCCGATACATGCCCGGCCGACACACTGGCAAGACATGGATATGATGTATCAAGATGGGCCAAAGGGCAAAGACACCGCTTCAAGGCACTGCTTGATGGCAAATGGATGCTCGTAAGGATTGCAAAAAATGGAACGACTCGGCTTACTCCATTTTCTGAAAGAAAGGGGGGAGTGTAACGACCCTATTTTTCCCTGGAAAAAAAATAAGGGTTGCATAATACCACGCTGCCCTAACGTATTTATGCAAATAATAAAAATAAGCATGAGCAAAAACTGTAAACATGCAAAAACAAAACTTATACAAAAAAAAATGCATCACAACAGCAAGCCGTAAACGGCCAAGAACAATTCTGCACAGAGAAAAAAAAAAACTTAGAAAATAATAAGCATGGGCATAAATGGTAAACAAGTAAAAACAATACTTATATGGAAAAAAATGCAAACTTGAGAATAGCGGGATCAAAAGCGTCGACAAGATCGAATAAAAGGGGACAAAAATGTGAATTCGGTCTCTTTTTTGAATATCAACCTCGAGTAGAGTGGACGTTTTTTTATCATCCTAGAGCAGAGTGAACTTTGGCACGTGACTTTGGCAGACACCAGAAGAAGCGAGGTACTGAAGAACTGAGCAGCCGAGAAAACGATAAGATATTGGTAAGCATTTTTAAATACTTTATATATTGGCGTCTTCGACATGTGCGTTGAATAATTATAAATACGTAAAAACTTTATATTCCTGCGTCTTCGACTTGTGGTTCGAACAAATGCAAAATACGCTGAGGAATCGTAGTTATATTCCTGCGTCTTCGATCTGTGCTTTTACTAAATTAAATTTTAAATACTTTAGATATTTGCGTCTTCGACATGTGCGTTGAATAATTATAAATACGTTAATACTTTATATTCCTGCGTCTCCGACTTGTGGTTCGAACAAATGCAAAATACGCTGAGGAATCGTAGTTATATTCCTTCGTCTTCGATCTGTGCTTTGACTAAATTAAATTTTTAAATACTTTATATATTGGCGTCTTCGACATGTGCGTTGAATAATTATAAATACGTAAAAACTTTATATTCCTGCGTCTTCGACTTGTGGTTCGAACAAATGCAAAATACGCTGAGGAATCGTAGTTATATTCCTGCGTCTTCGATCTGTGCTTTGACTAAATTAAATTTTTAAATACTTTATATATTGGCGACTTCGACATGTGCGTTGAATAATTATAAATACGTTAATACTTTATATATTTGCGTCTCCGACTTGTGGTACGAACAAATGCAAAATATGCTGGGGAATCGTAGTTATATTCCTGCGTCTTCGATCTGTGCTTTGACTAAATTAAATTTTTAAATACTTTCTATTCCTGCGTCTTCGAATTGTGGTGCGAACAAATGCAAAATACGCTGGGGAATCGTAGTTATATTCCTGCGTCTTCGATCTGTGCTTTGACTAAATTAAATTTTTAAATACTTTATATATTGGCGACTTCGACATGTGCGTTGAATAATTATAAATACGTTAATACTTTATATGCCTGCGTCTTCGACTTGTGGTGCGAACAAATGCAAAATACGCTGAGGAATCGTAGTTATATTCCTGTGTCTTCGATCTGTGCTTTGACTAAATTAAATTGTAAATACTTTATATATTTGCGTCTTCGACATGTGCGTTGAATAATTATAAATACGTTAATACTTTATATTCCTACGTCCCCGACTTGTGGTTCGAACAAATGCAAAATACGCTGAGGAATCGTAGTTATATTCCTGCGTCTTCGATCTGTGCTTTGACTAAATTAAATTTTAAATACTTTATATATCTGCGTCTTCGACCTATGCGCGGAATAATTATAAATACGTTAATACTTTATATCCCGGCGTCTTCGGAAATTGTTAAGATTTTTTGTTAAGAATTATATTGCTCAAGATAAAATCTCTATATGATAATAAAATAAAGTATTGTAAACTCTATTGTATTGAAATAATATCTAGACTTGTATATATAAATTCTATTTTTTATTTATGAAAATTGTTAAGATATTTTTGCTAATTATTATATTGCTCAAGATAAAATCTCTATATCGTAATAAAAATAAAATTTATTGTAAACTCTAGTATACTGGAATAATATATGTAATACCAATAAAAAAGAAGTAGATATAAAAGTACTGTGGTTTTAAATAAAACAGAGGCTAGGGACGGGTGAATCAGACGAAATTACGCGGGGAATCGCAGTCGAGTCTAAAAATATAAATGGTCTTGTAAGTACCCTGGACACCGTTGAACTATCCCAGCTATAGACTGCCCCACGTAAAGGGGTTCATTACAACATCCACTTCGTTTCTTCGTCTTGCGTTCAAGTACGAGCCAGATATTGAATATTCCGCACATCCGAAAGTGATGATTGGCTCTATGGACAAAGAATGCCCTTATTGTCACTTAAATTCAAACAAGAATCAGACGGGTTGTGTTGCGCATCAGGAAAAGTGCAACTACCAGAAATTGAGAGGCCACCAAAACCATTGAACTTGCTCATTGGCACGCATGAAGATTCAAATCTGTTCCTGAAGTCCATTTGCATATTTAATTCATGCTTTCAAATGACTTCGTTCGTAGCAACGGAAATAGTTCACAATACTGCGGCAAGTGGCAATACAATACAATACATTCATTATCATTTATTTAAAAAAAAATTAATCAGTAAAAATAATTTATACGGCAAAATAACGTTTGCCGGGTTAAATTTTAGTATGATATAAAATCTTTGCACAGAAGTGCAAAGTAAAGGTATACTTAAATTCTATATTGCTGCTAGATCAGCTGTGCTTATGCCTTTCTGTACAAAAATACACTATTTACGAGTTAACAAAGTTCCTGATTTCGATTTTCGGCTGGTTTAAATATAAAATAAAAACGAATAACTTCTTAAAGATTATAACTCATTATTAATCTGCAAATTAATACATAGGTTATAATTATTTATTGAAATATAAATAATTGAAAGTTATTGCTAATGCTTAATACGCTTAGCAAGTTTTAATTCGGGAAATCTCTTTTCTTTTTTTACATCACTTTGTTTTATAAACTTTTGCAAAACGTTTGGCACAGATATTGAACTGGCTTTCATCTGAAATTAAAAGAAATGTAAAACAATAAAAACCATATTTCTACAAATTTAGATTAGTTTAAGACAAGGCTGTACTAAATCATTTGTTAAGTAGTTTGGCTTATTACGTCAGGAAACAAGATATAAGCACATACATAAGTTAATTTTTATATCTGAAATTCTAGAAGTTATACTGCATTCACCCGATAGTTTTGATATTAATTGTTTATGTGCATAATTATTTAGTAATTGTTTTTATGATAACACATAAATATTAGGTTACGTGTGTTCACATTTTCTTTAGCCCAACACTGGCACCAGTCATTGACCACTGAAAAGTGCAATTCTGCATTATCACCCTTTATTGTGGGTCATTGCACTGAAGAAAATGTTTAATATTTTCACTAATAATTTTTTAAGTACTGCGTGAAAAAAATTTATTGTTTTGCGAATTGTTGCATTAATATTTATAATTAATGCATAATTCAATATTAATTATTTAAAAAAAATTTGTTTAGACTAATTAATTTTAATAAAAATCAGAATTATAATATTAAGCAACCTTTTCGTGTTTGAATTTTTATTTCTCGCAAAGATTAGTTTGGGTTACAAATGCTCAGGCTATTTGACACTAATAATGCTGCCAAGCTAATTCAAATTAAGGATCTGGGTTAGCATCAAGTATCGTACAGTAGCTTTAGCTGTCAAAAGAAAAAATTTTAAATAATTATGCAGGTGTTGCTTTATATGACGATATGACTATACATTTTGTTTGCTACAATTTATAAGTACGCCAGTTTTAACATATTTTAGCTTCAATTTTTAAGAGTACCTACATCGGTAAAAGAATTTGTTTTAGCTGCAATTAAAACATGATCGTATGCATATCCTTATAATTGTGTTGATTTATTTATTAGTATAATTTTCTAATTTATTTCACCAATTTTTCAAAATGTTTCATTTAAAGTGATGGGTCATGGTATTGCTGATAATGGGTCTCCCTTGACTGTCTCCTTTGCTGATGCTTTCGTACGGTAACTTTTGCTATAGGATTTTCTACTGGCGTCGGAATAAGACCTATTATTTTTTGTATAATTATTTAATTCACCAAGCACTTTTTGTTTTCTTTCGGTTTATACTTCACAATAATTTAACAAAACTCGAAGTTAGAACAATATAAGTCAGTTACTGTTTTGGATCAGCTGGCTAATTAACACTGAATCTGAACTGCAAATTTGATAGAATACTACAAATATAACTCTTTGTATTTGTAGACCCAAAAAAAAATTTTCGAATGATTATGTACAAGAAAAATTTTCAAAAATATAATACCACTATTGAAAACATTTCTACTGAAAACATTTATTATTAACTATCGATTAACCAAGGAAACGTTTTACTATAAATTGGCAGCCCCAACCCCACGTCCTTAGATGGCTTCGAATAATTCGTTATTTGTTTTATAACGAATAGTTTGAACTATTCGCATTGTTCGAAGACGAAGATAATACCGAATATACTACTCTACTGTTTACAAGGTTTTCTATTCTGAGTATTTGGGTTTTTTTTACTCGAGTGAGTGCAGTGCTTGGGGAAATTGAAAAAACACAAAATATATTCAAAATGAAAGAAAAACCTAAGCACAGCAAGAACACGTAAGGGTTATTTTTAACAAGGAAATAGAAAAACAAAAACTTAAGTGGAACCGGTATCCGGTGATTATTTTAAACAAGAGGTTTTTTTTTCAAAGTGCGTAACTTAATGTTAAGAAAATTTTTGTTGTTTCTATTTATTAGTTTGTACATGCGAGTGTGCATATGTAAACATATTAAAATTTGTGCAGATAGGATATAATTATTTGTATATTAAAACATAAAACATAAATAGATATTTAACATGGTGTTTATTAACATAGATCATGATATCATGATATCATCAACTATGACTGGGCTACAGCAGGTGTTTACTCACCTCATAATAGGCAAACCTCATATATTTGTATGAGACCAATATAAAATTTCATCAAAAATCAAATTTATAATAATTTGGAAAAAGTTGTGCATTGCATGCACACAAAGTCAATCATATATTTTAGAAAAAATTTATACATTTCTACTCGAGCTGGCTACCATAAAATCAAAGGGGTCAATTTTTTTGTTCTGCATTCGCAATCTGTATATTATTTGTCTGGACAAAAGTTAACTTCCAATTCGTTGATCTTGTGTTTCCAAATAAAGCTGTAGTTTATAAGCGCGTTCTAATTTAAACCACGGCAAGTGCTTTGGTTGGTGTCACTAATTAAAATAAAAATATGTGGCAACAAAACCTGGAACTTGAGCATTGAAAATTTGTGCAGCCTTGGCTACTTGTGGATAAACACGATTAGTCATCGCTTCTAATTTGACAGGCACAAGTTCTAAGCCTGGCACTTGCACTCCAAACAAATTATATACGGACTATAACCTAATTATATAAAATTCGATTATTTCCTAAGACCACTGATGATGAGTGCTTGGCAATACTCGAAACACCGTTGTATGGTCAGCCTAATTTTAATAAAAATTAAAATAAATTTTTGTATTTGTCCTTTATTTCTTTCTTTGCTATTCGAAAAACCCTCTAAATTTTTTATAAAGCTTCTTTGTCATCATACAAAGAAAGCATAGCTTTTCAGCAACACTAGTACTTTATTCAAAAAATTAAATTAAATTTAATTATAAGTTGTTATAATTTTAAAATTTAAATATCGAAAACTGTTTAGTAGATTATTTCTATCGTTAATTTCGAATTCAGACAGCCTAAGTACTATAAAAATAACCAAAAAACGGTTAGTATAATGTACCTGATTTGATTCAATTAAAGATATAAGAAGTCTGGGAATTGCAGCAGCGGTTCCATTCACAGTATGTACAAATTTTGTTTTATTACTAGATAAATAGGTGATATTTAATCGCTTTGATTGGTAATCCGTGCAGTTACTACAACTTGATATTTCACCCCATATTTTTCGACCCGACATCCACGATTCAATATCATATTTTTCGTATGCAGGAGCTCCCAACTCTGGTGGTGGCATATCAAGCAACCGAAATGTAAGATTTAAATTTTTAAAAAGAGAAATTTCTAGATTTTTAAAATAGTTTATAATTTCTTCAGATTGTGAAGTTGTACATACTGCAAACATTTCGACTTTATTGAATTGATGAACTCTAAAAAAAACATTAAAAAATAGCATACATGCAAGTATAATATAAATACCAAGTAACCTTTTGAATAAATAATTGTAACTGAATTTTAAAAAATGTACGCTGAGAAAGAGGCCAGTAACAAAAAGTGTTTTACAGTATACTTTTGATAATCAAGCTTTAATGTTTTAGTAATGTTGTAGTGTTCTCTTTATAATTAAATAAAACTCCGTTGTATTTGAGTTACGTCTCGATACTGCTTTTATTTATGTCATTTATTCTTAAGCTTATTTGGATGGTAGTGTGCACATACCGTACTTGCAAGCTCAGCATTTATGCCTCGCGCAAGACGGTCAAGGTCTGTCAAGTTAAAAAAACAAGATATCGTATTTCTCTGGCATAAACTTTTACAGTTTAACGTGGGAATAGAAAATATTAACAAATAGCGCAGTCAGCAAATAAACCAAAGCATGTACACACTACAATGTAATAATTTACGATTTATATGCTATATATTTATTACAACAGGAAATAATTTAAACGAGTATATACTATAAAAGATATACAAAAAGATTTTATCAATCTTGCAAATGAACGTTAAAGAAATCAACTTCCGTTAAATAAATAAATAAAATAAGGAAAAAAGTAAAAAAGGTTGGTCTCAGTTTACTCAGGAAACATATCTTTCGTTATGTCCGAATTATTGTGTATTGGTATTATCAAAGTATACTGTACATGTTTTTAATTAAGAACTACCACCATATTACGCCTTTTAGCTATAGTATTTATATGTTCAATACCTGTATATGCCCTTTTCCTCATGTGAACCAGATGTTTCTGCTCTAAAGCAACGACTTACGGCACACACTTTAATCGGTAACTCTTTTTTTTTATATAATCGATCCTGAAATATACCAGCTAATGCCATTTCTGATGTACCCGACAGGCACATATTTGGTTTTAAAGTATACACCTAAAATTGCATTCTTCAATAAATTTTCCATATAAAAACATAATGTACTTGAGTTCTCTCCGGCGCAGTGTGCATTCCGCAGCCTTCAATAAGAAATGCAGGAAGAATATCAGGTACAGACACCAACTTGAAATCATTTTTCCTAAGGAAAGTAATTGCGTGTTCAATTAATGCATGTTCCAGCATGGCCAAATAGCTAATGAGGTAATAGCTTTTATGACCTGTGATATTACCCAAGTGTTCCATTCGAAATAAATTTAATCGTTTACAAATTTCTGAAAATTCAGTCAAGCCAGAGGACGATATCATGGGAAAATAGCGCAACAACTCACAAGGCTTATCTCCATACTGAATTAATCTCGCATGGGTTAAGTTTGGTAATTTCTTAAGTTCCGCTTCCAACTTATCACACAAAAGTGGATCATTTCTAAGACTTATATCTTTAACCAATGTTCGAATTGCAGGAATGTTATTTACATCTTTCCGTAAAACAATATTGTTTTCCATATTATCCAAATATTGCTTACTTAAATTACTTATTTTAATTAAGTGCAGATTTCTTCGCAATTCATGTTTATTATGTTGTTTAAAATGAAAGGGATATAAGTCCCTTTGAAGTAAATTTTTGATCTGTCGATGAAAATCAAGCCTAACTTGGACACTGAACATAAATAAATACATAATGAAATGATCTTTTGTTTATAACGTACCAAATAAAATCTTTCATATTAACTAATAAAAAAACTTTTTCACAGTACTTCAAACTACTAAACCCCACTTACATGCACCAACATAATTCGAGAGGATTACATCAGAAAAGATCTTACAAATAACGGAGACTTTTATTTTCGAAAACTAATACAGAATAGGGGTATTCACTCTCTCTTGCAAACTCATTGCAAGGTGCACGAAATGCACAGATTGTACGAGAATGCAAATAACAACAACAAAATACACGCACAAAATTTCGTGCAATTGCGTGCAATCTTCCAATGCTGAAACCTATAGGGGTATTCACTCTCTCTTGTAAACTCATTGCAAGGAGCATGAAATGCAAGAATGCTATACAAAAACTGCAAGACTGCGAGAACACCTCTGTTGCAGAATTGCATCATCAAAATGAATCAGCTGTTTTTGCAGCCGTATCAAATTGAGCAAAGAAAAATAAAAGTATAACAATGCCGCGAACAAGTGAAATACAAAAATGTATAGATTTTTTTATTGAAAATAGTGCTTTTAATATTCTGATTGAAGGTATTAACATGTTGTTAATGTAGTTTTCACTACTATATAGTTTCTATTTGTTAGATGATGCAAATTACTGGGAAGTGATGGAGCAATTAAATGAAGACCTTTTGTTTACTTTAGTAAACCATCACAGAAATCACCAACCCGTACCAAAATCTATTCAATGGAGATCTACCATTCTTCAAGAATTTGATGAAGGCCGTTTTTGTCAGATGCTTAGAGTAAATTGGAACGTATTTTCCTTAATAGTCTCACTAATAAACTATTAAGGATTGCTATTGTTTTATATCGTTTGGGTTCATCAGGCGAAAATGCGGCTATTCGTAAAGTCGCTACATTATTTGTTGTTGGAGATTTATGTAATAATAATATAATATAAAAATAATTAGTATAATAAAAATATAACTAATTCTTAATTTATTATTGTTATTTGTTATATTTTTTATCGAGGGGGGTAGTGGGGTTATGCACAGCAGAACGCACGACTTTCGGTGCAGAGCTGGATGATGTGTTGTCTGCAGACGATTCAATAAAAAAAACTTCGTTGCCTAGCGCAGAACTAGTTGGTGGCTATGGCAATGTTTCCGTACAAAATTAGACATGCGTCCAAACACTTCATTCAATAGTTGAAAATGTGAACAAATTTTCGTAAGTTTCGCTGAAATTGATAAATAGATAAATTAAGTCACAAATGTATATGTATATAATATTATATTTGTGAAAACTTAATTAATGGTCACATCGATTTAAATTATTGAACGAAACGCATGTATATAGCATAGCCATAGATTAACATATCTCGAAATTTTACTAACAGTCAATTCAAATTTAAAAATGAGAAGCAACAAATGACAAAACAGCTGATTTCCGCCATTTCTGGTTTGTTGCAAGCAAATATACATAGGTTTCAGCATTGGAAGATTGCACGCAATTGCACGAAATTTTGTGCGTGTATTTTGTTGTTGTTATTTGCATTCTCGTACAATCTGTGCATTTCGTGCACCTTGCAATGAGTTTGCAAGAGAGAGTGAATACCCCTTATGTATATTTGCTTGCAACAAACCAGAAATGGCGGAAATCAGCTGTTTTGTCATTTGTTGATTCTCATTTTTAAATTTGAATTGACTGTTAGTAAAATTTCGAGATATGTTAATCTATGGTTATGTTATATACATTCGTTTCGTTCAATAATATAAATCGATGTGACCATTAATTAAGTTTTCACAAATACAATATTATATACATATACATTTGTGAATTAATTTATCTATTTATCAATTTCAGCGAAACTTACGAAAATTTGTTCACATTTTGAACTATTGAATGAAGTGTTTGGACGCATGTCTAATTTTGTACGGAAACATTGCCATGGCCACCAACTAGTTCTGCGCTAGGCGACGAAGTTTTTTTTATTGAATCGTCTGCAGACAACACATCATCCAGCTCTGCACCGAAAGTCGTGCGTTCTGCTGTGCAAAGCCCCACTACCCCCCTCGATAAAAAATATAACAAATAACAATAATAAATTAAGAATTAGTTATATTTTTATTATACTAATTATTTTTATATTATATTATTATTACATATATCTCCAACAACAAACAATGAATAGCCGCATTTTCGCCTGATGAACCCAAACGATATAAAACAATAGCAATCCTTAATAGTTTATTAGTGAGACTATTAAGGAAAATACGTTCCAATTTACTCTAAGCATCTGACAAAAACGGCCTTCATCAAATTCTTGAAGAATGGTAGATCTCCATGGAATAGATTTTGGTACGGGTTGGTGATTTCTGTGATGGTTTACTAAAGTAAACAAAAGGTCTTCATTTAATTGCTCCATCACTTCCCAGTAATTTGCATCATCTAACAAATAGAAACTATATAGTAGTGAAAACTACATTAACAACATGTTAATACCTTCAATCAGAATATTAAAAGCACTATTTTCAATAAAAAAATCTATACATTTTTGTATTTCACTTGTTCGCGGCATTGTTATACTTTTATTTTTCTTTGCTCAATTTTGATACGGCTGCAAAAACAGCTGATTCATTTTGATGATGCAATTCTGCAACAGAGGTGTTCTCGCAGTCTTGCAGTTTTTGTATAGCATTCTTGCATTTCGTGCTCCTTGCAATGAGTTTACAAGAGAGACTGAATACCCCTAATTATCTTTGGACACATTATACAGAACTCTCTATGTGAACAAAACACTCTATGTGGCGAACATATTATAGTTACAGCTGTTTCACTATATATAATATTATAGTTACTGGTGCACTTTGCCATATATATAATATCAAATAAAATTACACAATTTTTTTTTTTTTTTTTTAAAACATACATTTATTTATTGCGTCCTCTCTTAAAATGAGACTAACAATAACAATAAGTTGTATAACTAATTACATAATGTTACAAATTTTTATTTTAATTATACATTGTATAAAATAAAATAAAATAAGTAAACCTTATATCACGAACCTCACTTAGATTAATGGGTTAAATTTCATTGGAGTGAATGTTAGGTGGTTTCTTAAGAAAGTGATTACTAAAAAGAAAGGTGCGGTTTTTACTTCAAGCTGTTGAATATTAATTAACAGCTGGACGGTCAGCTCTTTTTAGGCGGGAAGTAATCACGAACCTCACTTAGATTAATGGGTTAAATTTCATTGGAGTGAATGTTAGGTAGTTTCTTAAGAAAGTGATTACTAAAAAGAAAGGTGCGGTTTTTACTTCAAGCTGTTGAATATTAATTAACGGCTGGACGGTCAGCTCTTTTTAGGCGGGAAGTAATGGATAGAAGTGCGAGATTTCTTGCTAAGGGATTAACATACTCTGTCAGCCTTTTATTGTATTTTTTTCTTATATTGTCAAATTCAGCTTTAACTAGGGGAATTTGTAGATCTCGGTGTATACTTTCATTCCTAATATACCATGGGGCACCAGTGATAATTCTTAGTATTTTTGACTGAGCTCTTTGTATAATTTCAATATTTGATGCACTAGCATTGCCAAATAGCTGGATACCATAAGTCTATATTGGTTTTATAATGCTGTCATACAAGAGTACTTTATACTCTAGGCACAGGAAAGATCTGCTATTAATGAGCCAATGCAACTTAGAGGCTTGAAGCTTCATCTGAATTTTTTTGGCTTCAATATGTTTGCACCAAGTTAGTCGTCTGTCTAGGTGGATACCTAAGTACGTTATATTATCTGCTTGTGGTATGGGAATGTTGTTTAGTAAAATTGTTGGAGATGTACTCCGATTTAAGGTAAAAATGACGTGTCTACATTTTAGTTCGTTAATTTTAATTCGCCATTTTGACAACCATTTCTCCACCCGATATAAGTGAGATTGAAGTTGGTTTGAACCTAGCACAGCGTTTCTGTTTCGGCATAAAATTGCCGTATCATCGGCAAACGTTGTGGTGATAACTGAACTACTTATCGGGATATCAGATGTGTAAAGTACATACAATATAGGGCCAAGAACACTTCCTTGTGGAACGCCAGCTTCTATTGGGAAATTATTAGAAGTATATGATTTGCATTTCACTTTAAAGCTTCTATTATGCAGATACGATTCTAGAACTGAGTGGACATTTGCAGGTAATGAATAGCGTATCTTATATATGAGTCCATTATGCCATACTTTATCAAATGCTTGTTTAACATCAAGGAATACCGCTGAACAATATTCTCTGAGCTCAAATGCGTGTCTTATTTCATTCGTTATACGATTCACTTGCTCAATAGTTCCATGTTTTTCCCTAAAACCAAACTGGTGGGACGGTATTAAGTTTTGAACGTCAAGGAACGGTTTTAGCATGGTTTTAGAAAGGCATGGCAGTAAGCTTATTGGCCTGTATGAACAGGCAAGCGTGGGGTCTTTACCTGATTTATGAATTATAATAATCATGGATGTTTTCCACTCTGTTGGATAAAAGCCAAATTTAATTATGGCATTAAAAAGTCTTGTGATAAAATTTATGGCCAAAAGGGGTAAGTTTTTTATCATGATGGGTGAGATATTATCATATCCCGGTGCTTTTTTGCAATCTAACTTATTTGTGATTATTTGAACAAGATCATTGGCCGTGATATTCATGTCAATAGATGGTGCTGGTGGATCTTGAGTGGGAAAGTCATATTGTCCTGCTGCAGGATTTGGTTGGAACACCTCTTTTAGGTAATCAGCAAAAACGTTAGATTTTTCTTCATCACTTCGCGCCCAGTTTCCAAGAGAGTTTCATATTGGAGAATTGGAGTCTATGGGAGGATTTATACCTTTGCTAGCATTCCACAAAGATGAATGGTTTTTGCCATTTGGACATAGGTTTTGAATATAATTATATTGTCTGACTTTGACTTCCTTGCTTAATGCAGATCTAAGTCTCCTTTGGGCTTCCTTAAATAAGTTTTGCGCTAATGGGGACCTAGATTTTTGCCATTCACACCTTAATCTACGTTTTTGTAAAACTAAAT